ATCTCTCTGACCTAGCTGGGAAAAGATTCTTTTTTTTTTTTTTTAATGTTTTTTATTTATTTCTAGGAGAGAGAGAGAGACAGCGTGAGCAGGGGAGGGTCAGAGAGAGAGGGAGTTACAGACTCTGAAACAGGCTCCAGGCTCTGAGCTGGCAGTCAGCACAGAGCCCGACGCGGGGCTCGAACCCACGAACCACGAGATCATGACCTAAGCGAAAGTCGGACGCTTAACCAACTAAGCCACCCAGGCGCCCCTGGGAAAAGATTCTTTACTTTTCTTTCTCTTCATGACAATTTATTCCTACAGCCGTTAGGTGGAGCTGAACAAAGTAGGCATATGTGTCAGTGAAGCCATGATGGCCGGACAGTGCTAGATCTTGAGCATGGTGAGGAGTATCTATCTAGGGAGAATACGACAGTGGCAGTGAGGTACTGTTTACTTCCAGGAAAATTAATCAAATGCATTTTATATACACATAACTATATATTTAAGGATAATGAATATTTCTTTGTCAGAGAAGGGAGTTAACACACATGAAAAGAGATACAACTAGAATGAAGTCAGTGGTTTTAGACTGTATTAGTGGGGGCACCTGGGTGGCTTAGTCGGTTAAGTGTCCGACTTTCGCTTAGGTCATGATCTCGCGGTTCGTGGGTTCGAGCCCCACGTCGGGCCCTGTGCTGACTGCCAGCTCAGAGCCTGGAGCCTGTTTCAGAGTCTGTGACTCCCTCTCTCTCTGACCCTCCCCTGCTCACGCTGTCTCTCTCTCTCTCTCCTAGAAATAAATAAAACATTAAAAAATTAAAAAAAAAAGACTGTATTAGTGAAAACTTATTATAGATACATAGGTATAAAATAAGTGTAGATATAAATGTGTGTATGCAATCTATGTGTGCATTTATATTCATTACCTTTGTCCACTGAGAGGGCTGGGAACAGTGACACTGCAGTAGCAATGAGCATGTAGATCATGGCCTCCAAATACCATTTTCCTCACTAATAGGAACCACGGCTCCTTTAATAAATGATTGATTCCAGTATTGGGGCAGAGCAAATAAAATATGAAACCAGAATATCTTGTATGTGAAAGTGAGGATGTGCTGAAGGAATGATAGGGACTGGTTATTAAAAGGCCACAAAAGCCAGATAGTGGTTTCTACTTGCTGAATCTGGGACAAATGTAATACCAATGTAAATAATACGAGTAACAGATTATAAACTTTGAATGAAATAGGAAATCACATGTCTATACTGATATAATAAATAGAAATTTTACTGAAGAATGGGATGTTTATATGGTCTCAGAATACCCTCTCCCATAAATAGCTTACTAATTGCAAAGGGAAAAAAAGCATAAATTTTTCAGTGGAGAAGGCTGGCAGCTATTTATTAATTAATCAAAAGAATATCACCAGTAATGGGACAAGGTGTCATCATGGCCTCCTGGTATGCCAGGAGGTTATCCAAAATGCATAACCTGATCATGAGGAAACATCAAAGAAAATCAAACTGGAGAGACATTCTCCAAAGACTGACGTATGGTCATCAAAAGTGTCAAGATTACAAGAGTCAAGGCAAGACTGAGAAACTTTCAGACTAAAGGAGATTAAAGAGACATGACGTTTCAACACAATGTGTGATTTTGGACTCCTTTAGGGCAAATGATATTATTGGCACACTTGGTGAAACTTGGATGGGATCTAATATTCATGGTAGTAATGTATTTAATTACATTGTATTTACATACATTTAATGTATGTTAAGTTCTTGATTTTGATAGTATATTGTGGTTATGTAGGGACATCTTCAGGGGTGATGTGGCATTAGGTCAGCAATTTAGTCTCAAATGGTTCAGGGAAAAAAGCTCTTTGCGCTATATTTGCAACTTTTCTGTGAGTTTGAGATTGAATAGATGGATTTTTTTTTTAAGTATGGCACTCTTTAAAAATATCTTGTGAGGTATACTTCTAATCTTAAAATAATTTTTAAAATTCAAATTGAAGCTCCATAGACCATATATTGGTGCCTACAAATTGGAGGTTATTCTTGACTTTTGTTGGATCATAAGATCTTAAGATTGCTCCCCCATAAGGTGATTGACCTTATTTACCTGGAGATTTCTAGTGTGACTTGTCTGGAGCTACCAAGGAAGCCTGATTGTTCATAGCTTGTTTTTCACCCAGCTTGGCCATTTCAGGATTCTACTTCTCTCCCAGGAAGAACTGAATCAAGTCCCAAATGAGTTTTAAATGATGTGTTGTGGGGGCACCTGGGTGGCTCAGTCGGTTGAGTGTCCGACTTCAGCTCAGGTCATGATCTTGCGGTTTGAGGGATTGAGCCCCGCATCAGGCTCTGTGCTGACAGCTCAGAGCCTGGAGCCTGCTTCAGATTCTGTGTCTCCCTCTCTCCCTGCTCCTCCCCAGCTCATTCTCTGTCTCTGTCTCAAAAATAAATAAACTATAAAAAAATTTTTTTAAAGGATGTGTTGTGTTTCTTTTACTCTTTTATTCTATACTGCAGATAAAGTAGGTCACAATAATCTCAACAATAAGATGAAAAACCCTAAATGGATACAAATCAGTCAGGAAAAAATATAAATTAGTAAGACAATGTAAAAACTGCAATTAGAACATACAGAAATAAGTTAATTAGGGATTGAGCTTTAAATTCGAAACTGACCTTCAAAGGAAAAACAAATCAGGACATAAAGTTAACAAAATTACATAGTTTGTTATCTTCCACTTATAAAGCTATATTAATTTCTCAGAGGAAAATAAACAATTTTCATGGATACAAAGTAAAGTGCTTTTGCATAATTTTGAAGTTGTGGTCCATGGTTAGTTTTTCCTATACCCTCTTTACTTTGGTCTCAAAAAATGAAGTGTTTCTCCTCTCAAAAATATTGTATATCTTTTCTATTCTTGACCCCATCTTTCCTGTGTCTCCTAGAACATTTCTTCATCAGTTAATACTTACATATATGAAATAGTTCTTTCTTTACTGACACATTCCCCTTTCTTGACTTGTCATTTTCCATATCCTGGGAGAAAAACAATTCTTCTATGTGTCCCTATTAGTTAGGTCTGTTAACAACAGCGGTTAAGTGCACAGACTTTACAGGTAAAAAGTTTTCAATCCTGGCTCCATCACTTTATGTGTAACCATGAGCAAGTTACTTCAGCCGTCACTACCTCTGTTTTACTACCTAAAAATGAGTCTAAATCTTTGGATGGTGTTGGGGTTTTTTTGTTTGTTATTTTTGTTTTGTTTTTTGCTAATTAATGAGTTGTACAAAAACTTGGTCAGAGCAGTAATTGGTACCATTTAGTGTTGAGTTAATATTGACCTTTTTTTTTTTTTTTTTTTTGGCCAGGAGTAGTACTAACAGATCTTGTGGAGATTCTCTCCCTCAGCCCCTGTCTCTCTCTAAAATAAAAAATAATAAAACAATTTTAAAAAGGAACTGCAGGTTCCCAACTGCTGGGTGTTCTCCAAAGAATCCACAAAAGCATTCCATTAGGTAGTTACCTATAAATATCTACCAATTGCAGAGAATTACAATGTTGGATCATAGTTTTAGTCAAGTAAGAAATTACCTGCACCCCTTCCCTTATTTTAGCTCTAATCTTGAAGAGATCAGAAACTAGTTAGCATTGCAACATGATGGACCTAGAGAGTATTATGCTAAGCGAAATAAGTCAGAGAAGGGCAAAAACCATGTGATTTTACTCATGTGGAATTTAAGAAAACAAAACAGTCATCAGGGAAAACAGAGAGGAAAATCAAGAAGCCAACTCTTAGTAACTATAGAGAACAAACTGATGGTTGCCAGAGGGGAGGTGGATGGGGGGATGGGCTAAATAGGTGATTGGGATTAAACAGTGTACTTGTTGTGATAAGCACCACCTTTTCTATATAAATGTTGAATCACTGAACTATACACCTGAAACTAATATTCCACTGTATGTTAACCAGCTGGAATTTAAATAAAAACCTAAAAGAAAAAAGAAAAACTAGCCAACTAAGTAATGAGTAAAACTACTACCATGCTAAAGACAAGTTATTTCTATCACTCTCCTTCCCTGATGGAGACTGCAACAGACTGAAATGTAATTAAGGGAAAGCCTCAATAGATAAAGTTTGAAGTTTTCATATACTGGATTGCCTAAGAATGACCAAAACTGTTTAATTCCCATGTTTCATTTGGTGGAAGAACCAACTTCAGTGAATCCACTGTATAAATTTAAGAGATCACCCTGGCAATAAAAATAGTTGCCAAGGATCCAGCTTAATTATTAGCTGCACCCAGTAAAGAGGCAGTACAGAAAAGTGGTTAAGAGGTGGAGGCAAGATGGCGGAGAAGTTGGGAGCTCTGTACATTTCACTCGCCTGCATCTCTCAGAGAAGACCTGAAGTGCAAGAGTCTAGGAGGAGAAGAGACAGTCCACTAAGAAGACAGTCTCATAGGTGCGTGATTGCAAACTAGGGAAGATAAAAATGGGCCATGACTCAGAGACACGGAGGGGAGGGAGCCTCCGTGGAGAGCCACGGAGAAATGAGGAGAAAAGAAAGAGCAACTGAAACTGCTCATAGAACTGTCCCTGGAGAAGAGAAAAACCTCAGCCTGGAATGGAGAGGGATCCTATTTCTAGCTGTGGTGCTTTCTTTGGGCTGCGTGCCCCAGTCCCAGGCAGCGCCAGGAGAAACTGCCCCGCTGCTCTCCTGACTCCATCCGCGGCTGGGAGGCGCCCGGCCTGCGGGATTACATTTCAGGCGGTATCGTTAAAGCGTGCAGACTAAGATCTGGAAATGAGGCGGGGTTTGGGACGAAGAACATGGCCCACCTTGACTACACCTGCAGCACAGGGAGATTGGACCCAAAAGAGTGATTTGCAGTGCTTGGTTCAAGAAGGGACTGGGGCACCGCCATTTTTCTCCCCACAACCACCAAGGTGGGGCCTCAGGGAGCCACCCACAGGATCCGCAGTGGAGGCGAGAACTGCCTATGCCAAACCACGCCCATCCGCACTGGAGAGCTGCTTTTCTTTTTTTCCCAGAGCCAGGGGCAAGACCAACATTGATGCATTGCCGTGATTAATTCTATATCAGCTCTTTCTATTCAGATATATTTTCCCTTTTCTCATTCTTATTCCTCCTTTCTGCTGGACTGGGCACTCTAGTCATTGGTTTGCTTAAACAGTCACATTTAATCCATTCTCTAGATGCATATTCTACACCTCCATCATTACCTTCCTTTTTCTCTCTCTCTCTGGAATAATCAGACTATATAGTTTCTCTGGGTAACATTATCTTTGTTTCTTTCTTCTTGCCTCCTACCATATTCTCCTCTTTCTTTTCTTTTTTTTTTTAATATTTTTATTTATTTCTAGGGGAGAGAGAGAGACAGCGTGAGCAGGGGAGGGTCAGAGAGAGAGGGAGACACAGACTCTGAAATAGGCTCCAGGCTCTGAGCTGGCAGTCAGCACAGAGCCCGATGTGGGGCTCAAACCCACGAACCGCGAGATCATGACCCAAGAGAAAGTCGGACGCTTAACCAAGCCACCCAGGCGCCCCTCCTCTTTCTCTCTCTGAATTAAGCCTCTTAGTCTCTCTGCCTGGTCATTGTCCAATTTCGCTTTCTCCCTTCCCCTGTCATTTCTCTTTGTATATGCTCTCCATCAGCACTGCATACATCCTACTCTTTATTTGTAGCTGAGAAGTCTGGTTTTATGCTTTTAGACTGTCTTTTGTCTTTTGATTTTTCTTTCTTCCTTTCGGTTTGTTTGTTTGTTGGATTTGTCTGTGCATCTGTGTGCCTTTGTTCCCTGTGTGTTTGTCTATTTTCCTTTTCAGGGCTACCTCAAGAAACAAGCCAAAGTACACATGGTGGAGAGTCCCAAATATCACTATGAGTAGGGAAATAAAATAACCAAAGTCTCAACAAGAGAGATCAAGAGACACCATTAAAAGAACACTTCCTGAATGAACAGGACCTGGACAGTCAATGAGTCTTCTTTAATATAGCAGTACTCGCAGGTGCAGAGAATGTAACAAGCTTTTAAAACTGACAAGAGACAGAAAGCTAGCCAAAATGGTGAAACGGAAGAACTCTCCTCTAAATAAATTCCAGGAAGAAGTGACAGTCAAAGAACTGCTCAAAACAGATATAAGCAACATAATGGACCAAGAATTTAGAACAATAGTTATAAAATTAATCTCTGGGCTTGAAAAAGGCATGGAAGACATCAGAGAAGCTATTGCTACAAAGACTATGGACCTTAAAAATAGTTGTGATGAATTAAAAAATGCTATAAATGAGGTACATAATAAAATGGAGGCGTCCAATGCACGAATTGAAGAGGCAAGAGAGGAGAATAAGTGAATTAGAAGACACAATTACAGAAAAAGAGGAGCTAAGAAAAAGAGAGCTAAATTGATCCTGGAGCACAAAAGGAGAATTTGAGAACTGAGTGATACAATCAAACGGACCAATAGCAGTATCACAGAAATTCTAGAAGAGGAAGAAAGAGGCAAAGGCGCTGAAGGGGTACTTGAACAAATTATAGCTGAGAACTTCCCCAATCTGGGGAAGGAAACAGACGTTGAAATCCAAGAGGCACATAGAACTCCGCTCAGACATAACTTGAATCGATCTTCTGCACAACGTACTGTAGTGAAACTGGCAAAATATAAGAACAAAGAGAGAATTCTGAAAGCAGCTAGGGATAAAAAGGCCCTATCCTACAAAGGGAGACCTATCAGAGTGGTTGCAGACCTATCTACTGAAACTTGGCAGGCCATAAAGGAATGGCAGGAAATCTTCAATGTGATGAACAGAAAAAATATGCAGCCAAGAATTCTGTATCCAGCAAGCCTGTCATTCAGAATAGAAGGAGAGATAAAGGTCTTCCCAAATAAACAGAAAAGTGGTTAAGTGTAGAGACTTGAGACAGACTACTCCAAGTTGAAGTATAAAAACTTCTATTTTCTCAGATCCAGTAAGACAGTACCTCTCATGGAAAGTATTGCCAGCAGTTTGTGCTTCATTAGGAAAACAGGGTTGCCACCATCTTCATAAGTATCTCCGCAGTTTGGTCTGAATCATGGCTCTGCCACTGGAGCTTTGCAAACTTGGCCAAGTTATTTTATTTCCTTGTGCCTCACTTTCCTCATCTAAAATGGAGATAACAATTCCTACATACAGGTGGTGTGAGGATTCAGTAAGTTTATATACAAAGCACAAGTAGAAAAGTTCCAAGGAACATTGTCTGGCACCTAGTAAGACATTCTATAAATGATAACCATTATTACATTTCAGGATATCTTGTGGTAAGAATTCCATACATGATCTCTTTTTGACCAGGTTCAACTACCCAAACTTAGGAGACCAAGCGTGCACTGTGAGTCACACATAGGGAGATTACACCTATCAACATTGTAGCAACAGTCTTTGGTTCTCATTGGCTGAAGCCCTGGTGGAGTCAGTTCTCAGAATCAAGGGACTGAGGGGCAGGGATAGTCCAATGGTGTGTTCCAGGATTTCTCTTGGAACAAGATTTACTGTTCTTGGACCTTTGCCCTCACCTTCACACCTGAGATTCTGAAAACTATCCTTTATTAAACCCCTTTCTACTTAAACTATAACTCTGCTGCGAATTAAAAACTTTGACAGGAGAAACAGATAAACTATAACATAAATGTAATGGAATATTAGTGCAGACAAAAAAAAATAAAGTTTATCTGTATATTTCAGCCTGAATAGGTCTCAAAAATAAGGAAATTTAAGGAAGGGTAATATAATTTGAGAAAATTATAAACTGCAAAATAACATGTTAATAGGTACACATAATCTCTCGTAATTTGAACATGTATTATCCAAATATTAACTGTTTGCAAATTTTTACCCCAAATTCAACATCTGAATAAAAACCTCTCAATAATTAATCTTAATTCTCATACTATGTAAAAAGTTTAAATTGAAGCTAGTATAGGTGACAGGATGTAGAGTATTGTGGTCACATCTCAGCTAACCTCCACATTTGTTTGACTTCTGCATCTGTTTTTTTCATTTTCTATTTATTTTATTAAAACTTTTATTTCAAACATAAATGCAGTTTATACTTTTTATTTCATAGTTTATTGTCAAGTTGGTTTCCATATAACACCCAGTGCTCATCCCAATACGTGCGCTCCTCCATGCCCATCACCCCCCTTCTCCTCTCCCACACTCCCATCAGCCCTGTTTGTTCTCAGTATTTGTTGGAGGCCTGCTCGGGCCGGGTCCAGGGGTCCCCGAAGGATGGACGGTGTCGGCGAGGGAGGGATGAGAGAGCTCTGAGATTCTTTCTGGTCACCAGGCAGGCATCTCTGCTCTGACTGGGGCTCAACTTTATTTTATAATTAAGTGTTTGGGAGACGGCACAGAAGTGGTATTTGCCTTAGACAATGATTTCGGGTGACAAACTTCTTTGATATGTAAGAATTTCCCGGAACATAGATTTGTAGAAGACTCCTGCATAACCTTTATCAATAGTGATTGAGGTAGGTGATTTAGATGCTTATCCTTTGGGGAATGAAGGTATCTTTAGCATTTTAGACAATGTTTTTAGCATAAAAAGGGTGAAGTTACTTCTTTGTGAGCAGGGGTCAATAGCTTGTTTAAGAAGTATTAAGAAAAACAGGTCTTTCAGGAAACACGTTTGCTCCCATAATCACAAAAGGAGAAGTTCCTCAACAGATTCCTTCACAGGCAGCAATCAGCATATTCAAGGCCAGAATAAGTCACTCCAAATACTGATCACAAATGCCTTTGGGGGGGGGGCGGTGCTCCAAGCAGAAACAATTGGGTGGGGGTGGATATCTGTCCTTAACTCTAAATTAGGCTCTTCGTCTCAGGGCCAGACTCAATTGTAACTCTTGTGTTCTTAGCCCCCTTTATTATGTAAGTCTTGGATCTGCAAGGCCCATAGGAAGGGCCTTTTGACAATCATCCACAATGCTTTCATCTGAAATCTCTTTTGAAAAGGCAGGAATATGTTTTTCTTTATGAGCAATCTGTGTGTGGAATATCGGTCTGATCTGGAATACCGTGAGGCCTGGTCAATACCAGCAGCCTCATTTCCAACATGAGCCAGTAGTAGCAGAAGGAGATACCAGTTTTTGTTTCTCATGGCAGGAGCTGTGCAAACGCTACCATTTCCTCGCTGTGACTTTCATCCAGTGAGGCCGGTGCGGCTCCCAGCAAGTATTCAAGAGTCTCTCATGGTTTGCCACCCTCTCTCTCCCCAACTATTTTCCCCCTTCTCCTCCCCCATGGTCCTCTGTTAAGTTTCTCCTGTTTCACTTGTTTTTTTTTTTTTTTAATGTTTTATTTATTTCTGAGAGAGAGAGAGAGAGAGACAGCGTGAGCAGGGGAGGGTCAGAGAGAGAGGGAGATACATAATCTGAAACAGGCACCAGGCTCTGAGCTGTCAGCACAGAGCCCGATGTGGGACTCAAACCCATGAACCATGAGATCATGACCTGAGCCGAAGTCAGACGCTTAACCGACTGAGCCACCTAGGCGCCCCTCTCCTGTTTCACTTATAAGTGAAAACATACGGTATGTTTTTCTCTGCCTGACTTATTTCGCTCAGCTTAACACCCTCAAGTTCCATCCAAGTTGCTACAAACGGCCAGATTTCATTCTTTCTATGCCCATGTAGTATTCCATTGTATAGATATACCACATCTTCTTGATCCATTGTCAGTTGATGGACATTTAGGCTCTTTCCATGATTTGGCTATTGTTGAAAGTGCCAATTGTTGAAAGTCCCAATGAACATTGGGGTACATGTGCCCCTATGCATCAGCACTCTGGTACCCCTCAGGTAAATTCCTAGCAGTATTATTACTGGGTCACAGGGGAGTTTTATTAATTTTTTGAGGAACCTCCACACTGTTTTCCAGAGGGACTGCACCAGTTTACATTCCCATCAACAGTATAGGAGGGTGCCCGTTTCTCCATATGCTTGCCAGCATCTAGTCTC